ACCACAATGATCCTTTCAGGCTGGAACTGCTTATATGTCACTTGTGAAGGTACTGCGAAATGGCATGTTAATAAAAGGTTACGTGACTATTGCTAGATAAGAAACCAATAAAATTAGAGGAATAAATTGTATGGTTTTTTAAGGATTCAAAATCTATTTTTTTAAGTAGAGGCATGAGCAAGATAAAGCCTATGTAAGATGTGCCTAGGAGTATTTAGAGTAGCTAATTAATCCCTTCCCATCTAGGCTCTAACTCTGAATGTGAAGCTAAATTCTCCCATTGCAGGTAATGGTGCCATTTTTTGCCATCCTCTGTTCAACCTTGCTGAGGTAATCGATACCCTGTCATCAAGTAGTTTGAGATAAAATTATCCATACCTATTAGAAGCAGTGTATTTTGGTTTTATATCCTCTCCCTCCAGCTATTCTTGTGCCATATAAATAATAGCTAATATTTTATTCATATTCTTAATAGCAGGAAAATTTAATTGTAATTAATTTCAGTGTGTCTGAATTATTGTCTTCTCTGAGTTGTTTTAGGTAATTGCATCAAAGTTTTAGTAAAACTTTTCACTATAAAGAGAATTTATTTACTACTTTTTATGACCTGGAGATGTCCAAATGCTTTTTTTTCTTACCAGGAAATTACCTACATGAAAGATCCATAAGTCTGTTGCCTTTCTTTACTGTCAATCCACAGTTTAGGAACTGATGATAAGTAAATCTATCAAGTATTCTCAATAATATTTCTAATCAAGCCAGGAATAAATAAAGCCAGCAGTGGTCTGTACCTATAGATACCTCAAAGTAACTGAGATTGGGGCAGGTAGTGGTATAGCAGTCATTTGTAATGATGCAGTGGTCCCTTCAGATTTCTAAGTGTACCCCAATTCCAGGATAATGCACCTTTCCTTGGTCACATTTTAATCATCTTCTTTTCCTGCTCTGGTGGGTTGACCCTGGGTGGGGGGGTCAGAGCAATGGGATGAAAAGCTCACAGTTTGAGATGCAGCATTTTGCCATTTCTTACACGCGCTTTCCTGGAGGCACGACTGGTGTTGCTGAGGGCTCAGCTGTGCCCTGCGGTGGGGCCATGGCAGAACCGGCCATGTCCATCATGGGGCAGCCCTGACCTCATCTCACGAGGCCACCACTGCCAAACGCTGGGTACAGACACCCAATGTATCTGTGAGCTCCTGACCACAGGGACCTTGTGCTTCTGGAAAGCTGCTGGTTTCACACACAGAAATGACTGATTTATTTATATTTTTTTTTTTTTTTCTGGGTAAAGCTGTGTATGGTGAGCATGTAGAAAAACTGTCTGTTGAAACAACTGGAAGAATTCTGTGAGAAACATTCTTATCAGCAACGAATTGGAAATTAAAAATTGAAGGCAGTTAATGACTAAAGAACCTGTACTGGACTTTGAAGATAATTGAGTACTAAAAGATATTGCAGGTTTACTTATGAAAAACTTTAAATTTATGATGTAATTTTGTGTGGACCATTGGCTGGCTGGCTGCAAAGTAAAAATAGACATCTATATGCAGAGAAGGAAGGTGGCTATTCAGAATTGTTTCACCAAAAGCAATAAATGAATGGAAACAACCGTTCTGTGAAGAGAAACCTTTGAAATTACTTTAAGTAATGGTAAGAATGAGACTGGTTATCTTTTCCTGTAAATGTTGTTGCTGATTGCAGACTGAAAAAGAATCTAGACTCTATAAAATAAAGCAGAGTGCTTAAAACAGGTTTGCACAGCTTTGAATAAGCTTACTAAACTTCTGGTAAAATCATTATATTTGGGGTGATGAGAAAGATCCTCACTTCAGATATGGTGAGGGAAATTGGATGGGAAGTCGGGAAGTCCCTTAAGAGAGAGTATTGAATAAGAGTTTGTCTAGACAAACAGGCTAAAATCTATTACTGCCTGCAGTTTTCAGTTTTACATTGCTTTTCCCTGCTTTATTGCTGTGCTTAATTGCATCAGTGTTTCTCAGGTATGTTAGAAGCAATGGCCAAAGTCTACTTTGTACCCTATCATGGAGAATTGTGTTGTGAGGTTCTTATAAACCCTTGATTATCCTTTGTGGTTTGCATCTATACTTTTGTCAAAAAGGAAATTGGGATTTAGCCTCAAGTGTTACTGAAAATATGGTTGGTTAGATTATGAAGAACATAATTTCATCATTATGAACATAATGCCATAACTTTTAAGTTGGAACATTGAAAGCATAGGCAATCTTATCAGGTTTTCACATAATAAATAGCTACAGAGCTCTGCAGGTTGGGTTTTTTTGTCAGTTTGCCCAACTCTGTCTTTATGCTTACCCCTTTTCCTTAGAGTTATATTGTTATGATCAGGTAGGAATATTCGGTTACAGTCTCTTGCTATCAAAAGAATGAATGCAGTATCTTTCATACATCAGTCGAGTTTTACATTAAAACTAGATAGGTTTTTCTGCCTTCTTTTGTATTGAAAGATGGAAATACCACCCTTCTGATAGGCACAATCTAATTTTCCACCTGGTTTTACTTACAGCCTGTTCAAAGTAATTTGGTTTTTTTGTGCCAATATTGTCTTTTGCTTGAATGTTTCTTTCTTTTGCATGTGTTGGGATTTTTAAGTAACAATATATGTTTGTTGCTGTTTTGTTGCTGCTTTGTTTTTTTGTTTTGTTTTGTGTGCAGTGGGGCTTCATGGATATTTTTGTGGGGTTTTTTGGTTGGGCAAGATAAGATATAAGGCAGCTTCTTTCTAAAACTAGTCATGTACAGAGAGAGATGGGCATAATTTGGGTGCTGCAGGTTTTTGTTTTGAAAACATCGTAGGAAGAGTGGCTTTAAAAGGAGCTGGTGAGTTAACCTATAACACTTAGGACAAGCCTGGAAATTATGGTACAAAGACTAATAAAATCCTCTGTCATCTTAATAAAATGAGACAGAAATCATGTAACTGTTCCTACAGACCTGTCATGCCAACTTTTTTGGCCAGTTGGTCTCAGATGCAATGGACTTGGCAATGATAAAGTAAATCTATTTCAGTCATTAATAAGAATCTCCTATTCTCTTCCTTAATTTGTGTGAGTCTGGGGAAAAAAAAAAAACCAACCTAGTGTTAGATCAGCCTTTGCTTTAGATGACTTACAATTTTGATAAAGCAGCTGAAGTAGTTTTTTAAATTTAACAAAGCCTTTGTTCTTTCCAGTGAGCAGTATAGTCACTTAATATTGAGAGATAGATTAAGAGCAAATTATCTTGAATTTGAAAATGAATTTGCTGGAATTTCACAGAGAAATATTGCTATTCTTCCATTTCCCAAAGCAATTAACATAGTTCTGATGAGTCAACATGTACTGAGATAAATCTTTTTGTCAGCAGTTTCCAACTGTATCTAAACCTGTATCTAGCTTTAATGTAGTTCAGTAGTAAGAATGTATTTTCCTTCCTAGTCCTCATCACATCATATGCAATCCTGAGATTATCACATTGGCTTTAGAGAACAGAGTTAAACAAGCCCTGGAAATTGAAGAGGTGCATGCTCCCATAAAGCCTCAGCTGTGCCAATGCCATATGAATCAGTTGTCTTCACGTCAGAGTATTTGTTTGCTTTTAGCCTCTTAAGCTATATATCTAGTAAAAAACAAGGCTTGGGAAAGGCTTGCAGGACCAGTTGCTAGAGAAGTGAGGATAAGTAGTGAGTAGATGTCAAAATGGGCTGTGACACTATTTACAAATATTGTATGTGAGTATAGTTTACCCATACCAAACACTCCTACTCACACACAGCACACTGAACTATAAAAGTGGAATGTATTTATAAGCATAACAAAATACAGAGAAATGTGATAATAAGCCATCCATTTTAATAAGGAATTAGAATTCTGACCTAATTCTTTCCCAGTAGGATTTATCACTAGCTTATAAATAACTTACAGGTATAAGACATGGCAATGAAGAATAAATTAACAGAATAAACAAAATGCTCAGAGATTTCCAGCCCCTGCTGCTACCGCTTTCTTGGGGAAAGACTGGAAGAGAGTGATATTAACGTCTGTGCTCAGGTTCATTTTCTGGCTGGCTTAACTCCATTAAAGAGTTGAGTCCAGGGATGGGTAGGGTAGGTGAAAATGATAGCTGTGTCTCTGATATGTTTATTGCTGTGTTTTACTGATGTCTTGGCGAGGAGGGAGAACTGCAGTTACAGCATGCAGTTGCAATCTAAATTGACCTTTTCTATTATCGAAGAAGTTTGCCCTAGTGACTGATTAAGCTTTGGTAACTCATTTTGACTTTCCATTGCAAGAGGATTGGATGGTTGAGATATACAATATGATCTTTCTTTCCGGTTTTTGGAAGTAAAGGAAGTCCAAACAAATCTTCAGCCGCATATGTCGGCTTTATGTTCAACAGGTGCTTTCATACATTGGGATGTGAGTGTGCATGTGTATGTATACCCGCTTATATAAGATTGCATATGTTGTTCTATCCTTCCATACCTTATTAGAAAAAGTGAAGAACCGTCAAAATTACCAAACATAATACTTCATGCCATCATCATTGAGAAAATGTATTTAATGTCTAATGTGTTCCTACCTTTTTTTTTTTTAAAGGCTTTTAACTGAGCATTAGGACATGTCAGATATACTGTGATAGTTCTATATGTGTCTGCTCTAAATGTGCTTGAAAAAATAAACAAATTCTAATAAAATCGTCTCATGATTATTTATAGGATATCTGTCTTATACTCATCATTTCATTCCTCAGGGAATATGGCATTTTCAGGCTGCCAAAGGGCCTCTTGACTTGCATGTACATCTGTCTGTCTCTTTTGCTTAGATTGCAAATCTGCCCTGAGCCTAGCCCAAAAGAATGGGCTGCAAGTGGTATCCTTGGCAGGGTCTGGTTACAACAGTGCTGTTCTGAGCTTTTTTCCCTTTAGTCTTTGATCACTGTGATAGTGAACTAATGAATTTACTCCTCTCTTTTTGTTCATACAGCTTCAAGTTGAAGTCACAGATATGACTGGGAACACCATTGATGGTCCAGTCCGCCTAGATATTGCTGTTATTGATCAAAATGATAACAGGCCAATGTTCAAAGAAGGACCCTATGTTGGTCATGTCATGGAGGGATCCCCTACAGGTAAGTCCATGCCAATTGTATCTCTATAAATAATGCCTGAACAAATTCTCTGTTGATAAATACATTATCATCATATTGTACAACTTGTCTTGCTGATTTTGTGGCTCACTGAATCCTTCTCCCACGTAAAGATGTGGGATCAACAGGTAATAATTTTTGAAAAACGTCCAAGTCTCTGCAGTAAAAAAGAAAAAAAAATTTAAAGTAACATAGTTTGAAATGAAAGCTTCAATTTAGGCTTACACTTTTTTTATTCATATCTGGAATCAGCGAAGACAACACCTAGGATATGATTATGATTCAGACCAAATTACAATTTCTGTTCAGAGTGGGAATTACACCTTTTTCTCTGTAAGGTTAGCTGCTGAAAGGGTCATTTTTATTTGTTTATATAACATGAAACTAGGTAAATAATAGGAATAAATGGAAAGCGTGTTATGAATATGCTAATATTGTAGGGCAGATTGAAATACTGAATGGTGTTACTTGTGTAAATGCAGATGTGACAGTAGCAACAAAATAAAAACACACTTTGAGACTTAAAGTTAGTAATGAAAATGTTCTGATTAAATTCACTGTTGATTTTATCTGATGATGAAATTCTATAAGAATAAAATGTTGTTCCAAATTTCAATTTGAGTACAAGCAACCATCCCAGCTAAACTCTTCCTGCAGATGAAGGCTGAATTAGTTTTTTTCAACTGTTGTCCTCAGCTGTTGTGCAATTTTTCTGTGAGTTATTAAACAGCTGTTGCATTCCACTTGAGAGGTATCACCACTGCATTTGTAAGCAGTAATTGTATGATCAGATTATGTTAACCTGCATCTTGGTGAAAGAAATTTAAACCAGAAGAATCCCCCATTAAAATCAATGGAGTGATAGCAATTTAATTGAGATCAGAGCTGTGGGTTATATATTGGTATGTCTTTCTGTATGTCATTGAACACAGGGCCTTACTCTCTTTATACAGTTGAAGTTGTGAGTATAGACACAAGGTTTTGGCTGTATAGGCATATTGAAATATTTTTAAATGAATATAGAATCAAATATATTATTTTTTTATCAATATTTAATATTCATTGAAGCTTAATGTGGTGACATGTGCTTTGTTTACGCTGAACAAGGATAGGCATTACCTTTCACTTCCTCGTATTACATATTGATGGGACTAGAAGTTAGTCTTTGTCCTTATTTTATTATTTATGTAGTTTCTAGAAATCATGTGACCTTTTTAGGGAGTTTTACATTTTCATATATAGTTGCCATTGTTTGAAAAACTGTAGGTATGAAATGCATTAATGAATGTTCATTTACCTTACTTGTGACAAGCATGTAATGAACCAATTGACGATCTTTTCATTCAAACAAGAAATGTGTTTCATATTTGTGAGTATGGCTGGCAAGTGGAACACTCTTTATTGTTGTAGGTCTCTAGTATGGTCTTAATTTATTTCAGATATTGATCGTTTATTCAGAATTCAAAATTAATTTCCTTAGACTGTCCCACTTCCTGTTCACCCTGTGTTGTAACAAGTTTCATAATTAACTGCGAGTACATTGCTAACAAATGTCAGAGATTCCTTTGCACAGTAAATAATATGTAGTAGAGTGTGACTATCTAATTGGATCAAGGGAACAACTTTATTACATTTTCATTTAAACTACAGCATCTTCTTGTCATGCCCATTTAGATACACATTCCTAGACAACTGAGTAGGATGGTGTAGTTTTAGTAGATTCACAGCCCCTAAATCCAGTATTTCAGTAAAAGAAAGTGGTGCCAAACAGCTCACACTCTGCAGTGCTTAAGCTTTAATCCTGCTGGTAGTATGTGAGCTCTGTATATTAGCTGCAAGTTCCTGCAAGTCTTTCAGTGGTCTCGTCTCTCTCCATCACAGCTGAAGTTTGCACCTCTTCCAAAATGAGTTTTCATGTTTAGCTTTGACTTTTAATTCCAGGCTATGGGACAATATTTAATTGTGATCTGCTATATGTTTTTTCTTTACTCAAACTCTATACCAAGGATTTATTTTTTTTTTTAACTGGTAGTTCCCTATTTTTACTCATCTATAAACTATCCTTGCTTTTCCTGTTTTTCACTCTTTACATTGAAATTTATGCTTCTGATTCAGTAGAAGTATTTCTCAGTCCAACTACCAGCGATTTTTTCTGTAACAGTTTTCATCCATTTTCCCTTGCTGCACCTCAGTATTTATCCATGTAGCATTTGGCACATTGATTGGCTTACCTGTTAGTCAAAGTTTGAATAATTTTTCTCAACTTCATCTTTTTCTTATCCTCTCCCACTTTCCCCCAGGTATTCATCCCATTAAACTTCATAACCTCATTTTCCTGGTGTCAAGAACACCAATACTTGCAAAATTATTTTGTGCAAAAGTGAACCTCTAGAATCAGTGTTAGCTAGAATCTGTGATAGTTTTCTATGCAGATGGCATCCAGTCAACCAAGATTTCATGTTGTTTACATCTGTTTTCCATAGTTCTTCAAATTTCATGGCATGTATCTTAAAATTATTCATCAGGTTCTGCTGTCTTGCTGCTCCCAATCAATAGTTGCACTGCACAGCTTGATAGAAATCTTGATGCGCGTGTGTTTGCATGTATGATTCCTGATTCCTTCTTATTGTATTAAAATTATATTGTTGTATTTCTTTTTTGAAGTTTCAAAAGAAAGGCTTTGCATTATATGCAGAACCTTATTTCCTATCACAGTCACTTTCATCCTCATTCAAGCTCTGAATCAAACCCATTTACTGAAACAATCTTATGCTGAAAAATAAATAGTGCTCATATAGGTGTGTTGGATCTGACTTCACGATCACTGGGTCAAAGTGTAAACGTCCATGGATTCCAGTAATTCAGTGATGAGAGATGTATAATTACACAGAAAACAATATAGATAATATTGGACTGTGAAACCTGCCTGAAGGATTTTGAGGCTTGTTAAGGGATACAGATGATACTATTATCTTGCTTTAAGTTATTCATTGCTGGGTTCCTGTGCGTTTTCCTGTGTGGCCATAATTTTAGCACTCTCAAAACCAATGGAATTTTCTAGTGGCTTTCCACTTCATTATTGACTCTAAAATTGCACTTCCACATTGCCCATTATTCATCGGAAATATCAGAGATTTACTAATAAATAAATCTTGCAGAGAGATAGCATCAGAAATTTAAATATATAAATCTTTATAGTGAATGCTTATATTGGACTACCTTGATGTTGTAGTAAGACACATGCTCCAGCTTTTTATTGTTTTCCAAATTAACTTTTTTCTTAATGTTTTGAAGGTTTAGTTCCTTAGGCAAGGAAAAAGACATAACTTAGAAGATTACAGTGAAATGTTGTACCAAGCCCCTATTAAGAACCCTCCTTTCTCTGGCTTTGGAGATAGTTACATGTAGGAGGAAACAAAAGAAAACTTGGAGATAGGGTGTAATTTTTGTATTTTGATCTGTCTGTGGATAATTAAAGACTCTTCTGTGCACAGTCCCGGTAAGGATGGGTTTGCTGGTGTTTTAATATATTTTCTGTGCTATTAAGGATATTGACCTTTTTTTGTGTATGATTTTTGAACTCACACTAAACACCACTGCTTATTTGGACATCTACAATTTGTGTGTCATTACTTTACTGGAGAGGCAAATACCTTAGCATAATTACTGAGAACATAAACTTGTATGTGCATTACATGAACAAATATTCAGCTGAATTTCAAGCTAGGGCTTGCCACAGCTTATAATTAATGATGAAAATATGTGAATGGTAGGTGATATAGTAATGTGTTTCTTTCCTGATATATCTTTCATGGAGAGATTTTATGATACAATTAGTTACAGTTAATTAGCTGTTTTCATGGAAAATTGTCATATTCCTGGAAATAACCTAGAGTCAAATTCTAGTAAAAGTACACTCAAATGTATGCTTAAAGTGACCATAGACATTTTCAGATTTCAATTAGGAAGTCTTTTCCTGGACAAACTGCAAACTTGGAGGCTGTTTATTAAAAAAAAAAAAAAAGGCAGTAGAGAAATAGTTTGCATTTTTTAATTTATGAAGACTCTAATCTCTGTATGAGACTGAAGTCAGCATTCATGTACCAGGAAAATGAGTTAAGACTGATTCGGTGACACCTATGGCAATTTTTCTACTGACTGTGATGGGGTTTGTGCTAACTGTACTGCTGATTTCTCACGTTTTTGTTTTCTAAGTTATGATCCAATTTATTTCCTATAGATCTCTGGTCTATCCAGCTGCCAACTCTAGGGTTTAGGATCTGTATCCCGGTGCAGACTTACCTCAGTACATTGATGAGAGAGACTGTAATCTTATGGATTACATAGGCAGGCAGAAACATTTCGATGTCTCACTCTTTAGAGGTTGGAAAGTGAAGCTGGTTAAATTAACTTGGCAGCCATCTCATTTCACTTGCTGGAGGCATTTAGCAGAAATTATTTTAAACACATTTGACATTATGTGACTTGTAACAATATGCTGCGAGCCCAGTAGGGTAAAATCTTAACTGCAGCAGTTGGGAGAATTGCTCAAGAATTGCATGTAAAAAAAGCAGCTTGTTTTCCATCATGCACAATAGCCTGAATACACTGCATTCTGGCCAAGGAGCCCCAAACCAGGACTGATAGATGTCTATAAATAATTTCTAGAAATAAAGGGACATTTGAAAACATTTAGAGAGGAAACAGAAGGAATTAAGAAGAGTAGCCTAGAGGGTTGTTCAGTATCATAAAATAATAATTTGTAAAAATGGATAAAGCATGAGGAAGGCCTGAAGCGCTAAGTATTATTGATAGCTGTGCATTGTATAATAGTGCATGGCAGTGATTCAGACAAATGAATCCTGTTTCTAAAGATGGTGGCTTCTTACCAAGAACATCCTGCCAGGACATGGGGCGGGGTTTGTACATAAGGAGGTTAGTACACAAATGAATATAAATGAGACAGGAATTGGTAGATGAGA